AGCTCTAATAGTCCTGGATGTTCTCATAGTTGTCATAGATCTCATAGTTCTCGCTGTTGTCATAGGTCTCAATTTTCTCAGAATTCACTGTCTGTCACACTTCCCAATGTTCTCAATGCTCTCGTAGCTATCATAGTTCTCAATGTTCTTATAGTTCTGGATGTTCTCACTGTTCTCAATGTTCCCATAGTTCTCATAGTTCTCAATGTCCTCAGTGTTCTCATAGTTCTCCGTGTTCCCGATGTTCTCAACGTTCTTACACTTCTGAATGTTCTCACAGTTCTCAATGCTCTCACCGTTGTCATACTTCTCATAGCTCTCACTGTCCTCAATGTTCTCATAGTTCCCATAGCTCTCCGTGTTCTGAATGTTCTCAATGTTCTCAGTGTTGTTACACTTCTGAACGTTCTCATATTTCTGATAGTTCTCGCTTTTGTCAGAGTTCTCAATGTTCTCATAGTTATCATAGTTCTCATAGATCTCACTGTTCTCAATATTCTCGTAGTTCTCATAGCTGTCAATATTCTAGTTCTAATAGGTCTCAATGCTCTCATAGCTCTGATAGTTCTCAGTGGTCTCATAGTTCTCAATGTTCAGATAGTTCCCATAGCTCTCAATGTTCTCAACGTTCTCAAAGTTGTCATAGTTCTCATAGTTCTCGCTGTTGTGATAGTTCTCAATGTCCTCAGTGTTCTCATATTTCTCCGTGTTCTCAATGTTCTTACACTTCTGAATGTTCTCACAGTTCCCATAGTTCTCAATGTTCCCATAGCTCTCACTGTTCTCAATGTTGTCATAGTTCCGGTAGTTCTCATAGTTCTGGATGTTCTCAGTGTTCTCTGTGCTCTGATAGCTCTCATAGTTGTGATAGATCTGATAGTTCTCGCTGTTGTCATAGTTCTCAATGTTCTCGTAGCTATCATAGTTCTCCATGTTCTCATAGTTCTCAATGTTCTTACACGTCTGAATGTTCTCACGGTTCTCAATGCTCTCAGTGTTCTCTTACGAGGGAACCTCCCGAGGTGATAAATCGCTTTTTCATCGACATCTAGTGAGTTATTGGTTATCGACCATGCTGATTCCGAATATGACCACGGGGCTTCCCCATAGCTCTTCGAAGATCCAGTCTTCTGGAAAACCAGTTTTTCAGAAACTCCCAAAAATTATCCAAGCCTTTCTTAATGACGCAGGATTGTAGCCCGCAAATTTCTCATTAAAATGAAACATTCCCCAGCTCTACACGACCGTCCTTTGCGAAGTTATAGAATTCATAAGAAGAGCCCTAAATTATTCATTATCAGCTCAAAGCTACAGAAATAGGAAGGAAAATACTAATTTAAGGCTCTTCTTATAAATTCTATAACTTTGCAAAGAAATGTTGTGTAGACCTGGGGGATGTTTCATTCTAATCAGAAGTTTGCAGGCTACAATTCTGCATTACTAAGAAAGGCTTAGGTTATTTTTGGGGGTTTCTGAAAAACTGGTTTTCCAGAAGACTGGATCTTCGAAGAGCCATGGGGAAGCCCCATGGCCATATTCGGAATCAGCATGGTCGATAACCTACAGCCCACTAGATGTCGATGAAAAAGCGATTTATCACCTCGGGAGGTTCCCTCGTTAGTTCTCATAGCTCTCACTGTCCTCAGTGTTCTCATAGTTCTCATAACTCTCCGTGTTCTGAATGTTCTCAATGTTCTCAGTGTTGTTACACCTCTCAACGTTCTCATAGTTCTCATCGTTCTCGCTGTTGTCAGAGTTCTCAATGTTCTCATAGTTATCATAGTTCTCATAGATCTCATAGATCTCACTGTTCTCAATCTTGTGACAGTTCTCAATGTTCTCAAAGTTGTCATAGTTCTCATAGTTCTCGCTGTTGTGATAGTTCTCAATGTCCTCAGAGTTCTCATAGTTCTCAATGTTCCCATAGCTCTCACTGTTCTCAATGTTCTCATAGTTGTCATAGTTCTCACTGTTGTCCTAGTGCCCAATGTTATCAATGTTGTGATAGTTCTGGTAGTTCTCATAGTTCTCGATGTTCTCAATGTTCTCTATGCTCTGATAGCTCTCATAGTCCTGGATGTTCTCATAGTTGTCCTAGATCTCATAGTTCTCGCTGTTGTCATAGTTCTCAATGTTCTCACAATTCACGGTGTTCTCACACTTCTGAATGCTCCCGTAGCTATCATAGTTCTCCATGTTCTTATAGTTCTGGGTGTTCTCACTGTCCTCAATGTTCTCGTAGGTCTCATAGCTCTCCGTGTTCTGAATGTTCTCAATGCTCTCATAGCTCTGATAGTTCTCAGTGGTCTCACTGTTCTCAATGTTCTCAATCTTGTCACAGTTCTCAATGTTCTCAATCTTGTCACAGTTCTCAATGTTCTCAAAGTTGTCATAGTTCTCATAGTTCTTGCTGTTGTGATGGTTCTCAATGTCCTCAGTGTTCTCAATGTTCTTACACTTCTGAATGTTCTCAATGTTCTCAGTGTTCTTACACTTCTGAATGTTCTCACAGTTCTCAATGTTCTCTGAGTTCTGGTAGCTCTCACTGTTCTCAAGGTTCTCATAGTTGTCATAGTTCTCACTGTTGTCGTAGTTCTCACGGTTGTCATAGGTCTCAATGTTCTCAATGTTCTCATGGTTCTCATAGTTCTCCGTGTTCTGAATGTTCTCAACGTTCTCATAGCTGTCACTGTTCTCGATAGTTCTCGATGTTACTAATCTACTGCCCCCACATGGGGACTGTGGCATGCGCTCGCCCCCGCTGCCCCTGGCGTTCCGCCGCGTCGGGCCGAGACTATCCTCTGTGTTACACTATGTTTAGCTTAAAATAAAAGTTTTCTGTTTTGGTTAGGGTAATAGGGTCAGTACATAGGTTGAGCACCTAGGCTCGGTTGAGTGAGATTCATGCTACCCTTGTTTACTTTCATTCAGTCGAAAAACGTCACGGCATTTAGACCATAGATGAGATGGCATGCTACAGTTTCGTGTCTGTTCGTCCAATATGAAAGCCGTAATATAGAGACTTTTTCTTTCTATTGGTGATACGTGACGTCAGCACATAGCCACATAGGCTCACAGTTGCATGTCTGATAGCATTTAATTTGTACTATTGACTGTCACGTGGGAATCGTGTGTACCGAAGATATGCGCCTTTATCTATCAAATATCAACAGCATCCAGGAAAAGATGTTCAGCCTCGGGACCAACTATTTAAACCGGAAGTTCATTTGCATATCGTCTTTTATTTAGGATTAGCTTTCATATAGTATTCCTTGGTCATTGTCAAACCCTTGGCTTTAATAATGCTGAAAACCTGAACTCTCTAGCTCTTTCCGTTCTCGAGATATTCAAAACACAATCGAGCCCACTGTTATAGCTTTTTGAACGTTAATAAAAACTACTACTGGCTAATCTACTGCCCCCACATGAGAGCAGTGCCATGCGCTGGCCCCCGCTGCCTCTATCGTTCCGCCGCGTCTGGCCGAGACTACCCTCTATATTACACTATGTTTAGTTCAAAATAAAAGTTTTCTGCCAAAAAGAGCGGGGTAACCTTAAATATACAGTGTGTAACTATGGTCTATGTACCAGGGCTCCGTATGGACTCAAATTTTTGAGTCCAGTCTAGTCCAGTCCAGTCCGAGTTCATTAGATTGAGTACATAGTCCAATGGACTTTGCAAACTTCTGTATGCTCGAATAAAAAATAAGTATTAAAAATTATATAAAGGGTGGCCCAGAAGTCCTGTCGCATTCAGTATTTTCCCAATATGTGAGTCAAGGTTGATCGCCAAGTCAAAATCGTTTTTAAAAGAAGCCTCATTCAGTTCTCTACACAAAACATATTGAACATTTTCTTATATACTATAAGAATAAAAAAATATAGAGGAAATACGGGAAAGCTTCAATATCGATTACTTTCAAACCGAAAAAACAGGTTTTTTAATGTCAGTCAGTTATATTTTGCGATATGAAAAAAGAGAAAATGGCAATTTTGCAGTTCTCGAAAAGCTCTATCAGCTGGCTATATTTAAGGCTCTTCATAGGCTCAAGCGATCGCGGGAGGTTTTTTTTTCTTTTAGGGATTTTCCCCCAAATCATCATTTTCTAATCGCAGTTTTGTGACACTTAGGCAAATTTGTGTGATTTGGTCCGAATCACATATTACGACTTTAGATCTGGTTTATGTTGAAGTAAAATGGTTTTTCTGTTTCGTCCGAACAGAGAAAGTCGAATAGCCTTCTTTCGTTTCCTGTGCCTAGGCGAAGAAATAAAACTTTCCTCTCTTTTTTTACTTTAGTAAAATCTTTGTTTGTGACAGGAAAAAAGGTTTGTAGCGAATTTATGATAAAAGAAAAGAAAGCTGATATTCTGGAGCACCAGAAAATACAGTTCGATTCTACTTTGATGCATAGCACCGTGTTCAAAATAAATAGTTTTTGGTTGCGCTTTAGGTTTGAAAGTAATCGATAGTGAAACTTTCCCGTATTTCCTCTATATTTTTTTATTCTTATAGTATATAAAGAAATGTTCAATATGCTTTGTTTAGAGAATTAAATGAGGTTTCTTTTAAAAGAAGGATTGAGACCTGGCGATCAAACTTGACCGAAATTTTGAGAAAATATTAAATGAGACAGGACATCTAGGCCACCTTTTATATAGTGTATTTTTAATATTTACTTTTCATCTTCGTTTTTAAGCTTTCGAACAGTCTAATTCATCATCAGAAAAATGCAGAGCATAAACAGAGAGCTATAAAGAGAGATATTATTTATACACGAAACTTGTACATATAAACGAACATATGAAATAGTCCGTATGACGGTAGTTAAACTAAAAGGAACACACGATGATACTAACAGACAAGAGAAAGAAATAACAGAATAAAAGTAAAAAGGACTAGAGAATGAGAGATATGGGTTATTTCATTTTTATTTTAGTTCTTTGACTAACACATCCTTGTGGGTGTATCTCTAATTCTTCTCGAGCCATTTTTAGAATTTACTTTTATTCTGTTATTTCTTTTCCTCTCTATTAGTATTCTAGAATCGCTTTTAACAAAACAAAAACAACTTATCGTTTACCGAATTTTCCTCGATTCAAGTCCACCCAAACTTTTTCCAGTCCAGACCAGTCCGTGATCTTGAAAGTTTGAGTCCAGTTCATACGGAGCTCTGCTATGTACTAGTTTGTTCAGTTTTTCATTGACTATTTTTCTATATCAGACTTTACTGTAACTTCATATCAGACTTTGAAAAGAGTTGTTTTTTGTTAAGCACTGATATGGTTTATGTATCCCTCAGAATATATGAATAGAGAAAGATATGAGAGCGAAAGAAAGTACACGAAAGAGTACACATTATTACATGCCCGCAGAAAGAAGGAGAAGGACACTCGAACAAAACAAAATAATTAGTTTAATTTAACAAAAGTTTGTTGATGTTTTTGTAAATAAATCTGGGATGTATTACTTTTCTCATTCAATGTGTATACACTACTATTTTTTTGAACAAAAGCCAACGGGTACTCAATTCACCAGTGTCGCTAAATTCTTAACTTCAATTCAATCACCTTTAATTGTTCTTGCATGATCACTCCCTCACGAATATCCAAAATATCATCTAAGTTTGATTGATCTTCAACTACCATACAATAAGTTCAAACTTAGTTAATGATATAATACATGAAATCGATTATGTTACATCATCAACACCTGTTAGTAAACAAGAAGAAGAAATTGTCTTACTACAAACATTTGATAACCTTATAGAACGATACACAGTCTCTTATGAACATATTCAATAACAACAAGTAGCAAAACTACCAATCAAACGTATTGTTCATCCGAATATTGATAAAGATCGATTTCATTTACAAATAGCAAAATCAAGACTTATATCCGATTTAAAATGGATGATATCAACAACCGACAAAGAAGAGATACTTAGTCCAACCGATGTTCAAATTAAAATTCATAGTGTTGGTTTGAATTTTCGTAATGTATTGAAAGTTCGCGGACTTTTTCCGCATATAGAAGAGTTTGGTATTGAATATCATGAACAACATGCAAATACTCGAGACTAAATTCTGAACCAAAAATTTCGTGATACAATAATAAGAAAAGGATTAGACGTAAAACCGTTGAATATAAATGACACTGTAATTGGTGCTATAATTCATCATGCTGCATTTAGATCGCATTTAATTGTTGATCAATGTCTTGTTGTTCCTGTTAAAAAATTAATTTCTCAAACTTCAATGGAAAAATTAGCTTCAATACTAAATGGATATTTAACAGCACCCTTAAATGTAGAGTTCTTTAGAAGAAGGTGAACGATCTTAATTCATTCAGCATCTGGTAGGTTTTTTTTCATTTGTGTTAGTTATTATTGGAATTTTATTAAGAGACGCCTGAGGCGAATGCTTATAACTTTTCAACGGAAGTTGATAGAGACCTACGGTTCAGGGGACGTATACCTATGGAAAAATCATGGCTCCCAATCCGGTTTACCATGGTGTACTATTCGAGGTAAAATCGGAAAACTTACCGTTCCCAAACGATACTATGACATCCAATCTCAATGTCGAACATAGGTAATCGACCACACTGATCATCGTAGTGATGTTCGTTTCATTCCCCCACACAACCCCAACTGCAGAAAAGCAAATGAAAAGCCAGTTTTTCCCCTCTTACCGTCAAAAATTAAAAACCATATATTTCACTCATATCTCGTCCAAAATGACTCAAACTTTCAAGGAATGATTAGCAGAGATCATAGAATATAGATCGAACCGAAAAAATTACACGAGGTTTCCAGTATATGCATGGGGTTTTTTAAGGGATCTCTGGAAAACGATGCACGAAACCGAAACTCAGATCAGGTCTTTTCGGTTCCATCTGTATTCCATGATCTCTGCTACTCATTCCTACAGTCTAATATTGCAGTAAGTAGTTAGTCAGTACTTCAGTCAGTAAGTAGTTATTGTAATAATATAATAGACAGGAATTCCCGGAGCTCGATTAAAGAAGTTTGATATTAGTTTGACATTGAAGGATCTGCATTAGTATAGCATGTTAGTAATAATGTAGGTTGTGCTAGTAAATTCGATGAGGGTGTCATTTTTGACAACGAAAGTAATGTTTATAGACGAAGGAAATTAGAAAGTGTGTATTCAATTGTGAATTTGTCGTATAATAGACGCACATTGTCTCTTTCTTTTCTTGTGAACTACAAATAGAAGATGACGGCAAGATAATCATAAGAAGGATAAAATTCTAGAGAAATATATAAAGAATAAAGCACGTTATGTATCACTATATTGTAAATTTTCTTTCTACTATCAACATCTAGAAAAAAGGTTATGTACAAAACTCTGCTAGTTACACGTTAATATTTGATTGGATTTTTAAATATAATTTAATGTTATATTTCTAAATTTTTTATCCTGCTACTGGTGAACATTTAGCAAATACATTGAAACGTCTAGCTATAAATACTATTTGTATGAATACAAAAGTTTCAATTCTAGTTACATGAACAATCCTTCTCTTCTTTCCTTATCTTTTTGTAGACAATAATCTGAGTGTTCGGCTTGTTTCAAACAGATCAGTCCGACGTTCACTGTTCCAAGACTAGAAACTATAAAGGAGCGACAAATAAATCTGCTTTCATGCGAAGTTTTTTCAGATTTTTCTGTTGACTGTTAACAACAATAGGATTCACCCACAAGTAAATCATATCCTGATCTACCTTTAGTGGTTTATCTTTACACTGATATCAGTCGATCTTCTCGCACGCCTATGAACTGACATCAGGATCATTGAGAATCAGTTTAAAAACTTCTTTCAATTGTTTGGACTACGTCGATATCTAACTCTGTTAATATATGAACGAGATCCGATAGATTTATGAGGTGCTTCAGTAGTCACTAACGCATCTATTGAAAAAAATTCAGACAGGAGCGATCTAAGGGGACACGGGGCATTCGAGCCATTCAAGAAGCAAGAGAACAAACGGAAGTAGTGACTTATGCGTGTGTCATTGCTAAGTAGTATGATATCATGTAATTATGTGTTTACTAGGTAGTTTATCGCAAACATAGGAATATGAAATATAAAAACGAATTTTTACACTTTTTTGAAAAACTTTGAAATAAATTCAGCATTGACCAGTCCGGATATGAGTTATAGCAGTATATCGCCAGAGGACGCCAAAGCCCTTGCAAGAGGGTTAAAAATGAACTTAACGTTAACAACTCTCGCTATTGGAATCCACACTATAACGAAAGAACTAGTTCAAGCAGTTGAAGCAGCATTGAAAATAAACACAACATTAAGAAGTCTTTTTATTGATACGTACAGCTCTACGTTATCTGATGAGTTCGCAGCACTTACAGAAATGTTGAGGATGAACGCAAGATTAACTACTACTAGCATCAAGTACATGATACACGGAGATTGACAGTTTCGGCCGATTCTTCATAGGAACATTACGTTGTACTTATTCAACCATACAAATTCATTTGCAATTTGTGAAGAATGCATTTGCAAAAATTTCCATTGTCACCATGTACGGTTGAACAAGCACATGATCTGTCTTGAACTCTGTGGACCGGGAGCCACAATCGTATTTTGTACTTTGAAATTCTGGTGTGTGGTTTTCTTAGACATCGAATATTGCATTCTGACGCTTTTCGAGTATATAATTATTTGTATCTGAGGATGTTTGTTGATCAAAAGTATCCTTTTTTAATAACTAAAAAATTGATACTGAGTAAAATATCCAGATATTGTTAGCAGACATTTTCATCCATCTGAAAATGCAGCGACCCCTCCCTATGATATATTTTAATAACCCGAACCGTTCTTAATGAGGCATGATTGTAGCCGCACATTTCTGATTAAAATGAGACCTCTCCCAACTCCACATGACCTTTCTTTGCAAAGTTATAGAATTTACACGAAGAGCCCTAAATTAATTTCTTCTTATTTCTGTAGCTTTTAGCTGACAATG